GGGCTCAGGAACTGGAGGTAAGGTCGGAATACCGGCAGGGTCTAGGTTCTGATTCTTGGCCAAGTCTCACACAGTAAGGCAGGGGGCCAGACATGGGGTTGGGGGCTGGTTAGGATGGGTTTCGGGTCGGCAGATTCGCCTATCGGCATTGGTTTGCCGCTGACGGAGCCCCGGGATTTGTCGGTCGTGACAGAAGTAGCCTTCTTCTCACATTTCCACTTCAGACTAAGTGGTCGGGGACGCTCACCCTGCGACGGGATCACTGCTACGCATAGCCGCTATCCGTCCCCCAAGTCCCGCACCCCGGGACCTCGCCGCTTTCGGAGCTGTCCCTGACACCAAGGTCCGCAAACCCGAACAGTTCGATGGAAAGGATCCCTGAGAACTCCGAGTATTCTTGGTCCAATGCGGGCTCAATTTCCAGGACCATCCCCTCACTTTTGCTAGCAACCATGCTAAAGTCATATTTGCGCAGTCCTACCTCAAGTGTTACGGATATGGAGTCTCCAACGACCATATCCGTCGCATGGTCAAAGACTTCCCCTCTCTATTGCTCCTCCCCTCTTTCTCCTTTCCGTCCTCTATCCTGCTACCCTATCCTCCTTACCTGTTCTACCCCTTTCCCCCCCTGGTGCAAAGCTTTCCCCATTGGGGTTTTGGTGCTGGCCGAGGTTGTTTGTGTTTCGCGGGATTTCCCGCGACCTTACCATTTGTAGATAGTCACGCGTCATGTACGGAAACCGCCGAAGGCGGTTCCCGCTAACTAACAACTGCTCTACAACTGTCTCGTGTACCGTCTTCTGTAACAACCCTCCCTGTGACTCAACTGAACCTGTGTGACTGTACAACTCTCAATATGTCTTATAAGTCTGGTTATATCGAGTCCTCTAACGGCCCTCACCACGAGAACTCGAAGTTGAGAGTCGAAGACTCTTGACATGTGTATCGTCCTATTGAACCTGTACCCTATGGGTCTTCATCACTCCGCTCTCCCCCCAGTACTCAACATATGATGTCCCATCACGATCATGGTGATCGTGAACACTATGAGGCCCACTTACCCTCGATGCCGGCACGTTCGCTACGCGAACGCCAAGTAGCCGCCCATCCACCGTCTGTTTCTTCCTTTGCCAGTCATCATATGTCCCGCCAACGGTACGTTCCCTTTGGGAATGCCAAGTCACCGAAGGCCCTAATAGTCAGCCCTCATTGCACGCCTACGATATCAACCTGCTACCGGTACGTTCGCACTGCGAACGCCAAGTACCCGATGGCAACTACGCGAAGCTCTCACCCATCTCACCAGTCGCAACCTCGCACACAGTACGCTCCATTGAGGAGCGCCAAGTATCCGTGGCTGACCCATCTGTCCTGATATCTCCGACTATCAATCATCAATCCCTTAATAGCTCACTACATCACCCATCGCGATCGATGGGAATTCGATCGCCCACTCCCAGGTCAGACTGGGATCACTCATCGATTGCACTTCCAGTTATGGTACAAACTAGACATGACTCTCGCCTTCCCACTACAAGAACGGATCGAGGAATGGGGAATTTCCCCCATCCCCGTAACAGGCCACCTCCGGGATCTCCCACAGAGACACCCAGGGAGGTGCGGCTGTGTGCGGAGATGACGTGGCTTCCTCCACATGACCCTAGCTGCATGTATATAATAGTGCCTGGGGTGGGAACTGTCATATCCGTACAATCCCGACCTCCGCTCCGGGCTCCCAGAACTCCGAAACTGATTCCGGAGCCCTACTTCCCTTCTGTCACCTTCTCCTTGCCAACTCCCAAGAGGTTATCCCACCTCCGGCTCTGACACCACCTTTGGTCCGACTCTGGAACATCCTGGGTCCAACCTCAACCTCGACACCATCCAGACGAGTATGCAACACCTATGCTCCCAACTCCAGAACTCCGCTCCGGAATCCCGTTTGTGTCTCCGTCTCCGGAACCTCTGGTCTTAGCTCCGACCTCGGACTTTGACCCCACCTCCGCTTATACCCATTGTATTGGTTAGCTCATTCCATTTAATTACATTTGCCAATATTCCGGAGTTTAACTTCCGAGTTCGGACTTTCCGGACTTATGGTGGACCTTGCAACTATTGCATTGCTCCATTCAATTCTGCTATACTCCCTCATTCCTATTTGGGCTGCTGCTTCCTTTCTATTCAGTCAGCTGGCCATTCCCCACTCCCATCCTCCTCCCTTCCTCCTTGGGCCTTGGCCCTTCACTCCTCCTTTGGGAAACACCATTGAGTCAAACCCTTGACCCTCGGTGTTGCCCCTCCTTTCAGCCCCCTTTGTCTCCTTTTGGAGTACCCTCGCTCCTTTTGATTCTGGACCCCTCCTTATATACAATGTACATAGTAACTTGTAACCTCAGTCCGAAATCGACCTGAAATGCCCCCAAGAGACTTTCCCTCTGCTAGATCTGAAATTAGGGACCCCCAGGACAACCAGCAATGGCACAGCGCTCCACCTGAGTCGCTGAGGCCAAGGTCCTTCCACGCTAAGTCTCCGATTCCACTCTGGAGTCATCTGAATCTGCCTGTTCTAACAGGAACAGAAGAAGCAGCCTTCTTCTCAACTTCCCACTTCAGACTAAGTGGTCGGGGACACTCACCCTGCGACAGGATCGCCACTACGCATAGCCGGTACTCGTCCCATTGAGTCCTGCACACCGGGACCTCGCCGCTTTCAGAGCTGTCCCTGACACCTTTATTCTTTGATTGTTGCCTCATTGTTGCCTTTGTGTGTTGTGTACACACATGCATGGGATAGCGTGGGAACTTTCTGAGCGAGCAGCTTGCCCAGAATGTTCCCATGGGTCACAGCCACAATTCTGGGCAAGCAACTTGCCCAGAACGTTCCCACACTTACTGGGCACTGCCACCTGGGTGTTCCCTCTGGGTCACACTACACAACTCTAGGAGCTGTATAGTTGTGGGCATGTGACCCATTCCTTTATATAGCAACCATGCGGGGAGATGAGACCTTTACCCTTCTTCTCATCTCATGCCCCACATAGGCAAGTGTATATATTCCCTTTCTTTTACTATACATCTCATGCCCCGCATAGTGTGAGGACAGGCTAGATGGGGGTTGAGGTCAGGGAGCCTCCGAGTCCGAGGCCAGGCCCTGACAAATGAAGAGGGTCCGAATCGGAACAAAGGTGTCCAAACAGGACAAAGGGAAGACAAAAGCAGAGCAGCACTGAAGGTCATAGGTTTAGAACCTGTGGTACATCCAAAAGGAGATAGGGGGGCAAAGCCCAGAGGGGCAGGAAGATGAGGTGAAGTGGGGATGATGACTAACTGGCTAGAATGGGAAGAAGCAGCAGTCTAAATAAGGATGAGGGGAAAGCGCGAAAGATACATTACAAGCGGCAAAAGTGCCGGGTATGATCTGTGGAGCTCAGAGGTTACGGAGGTTGCGGAGGTTACGGAGGTTATGGAGGTTATGGAGGCAGGGTTGAAAGTCTGAGGAATGTTGGCAATGGTGTTTACGTAGTATGAGGTCACCAATGCAATGGACTTAAGCCAAGCCAGGCTTCATGCCTGCACCGTTCATTCTGCCATTGCAACCCACGAGCAGTGGGGTGAAAATACCATGTGTTGACGTTACTCAAACACGTAATCTCCCTCCCAACTATGGGAGAAAGAAAACAGTGCCAATGAAGGCCACTGTGGAGATGATACAGGAGGAGGACAATGATGTGGAAGTCATCAATGGTCTGCGGAAAAAGCACCTGATCCATGTCCAGGATCGTGTAGATGACCTTGGCAGATGGCCAGCCAAGGTCAGACCAATCTTTGCTGAGTGTAGTCTCAGTGAATCCACTTTCGACTTTAATGCCCATCTGGATACAGATGTGGCATTTGTATACAACATGGGTCATGGGGCAAACAGTGAAAACCCTGAAAGACTGTCCCACAGCACAGCACTTAGACAGGTGCTGGACAACTACCACTGTTTCTCACAACCACCTGCAGCTCCAGAAGGGAGCAAGAGGCATGTAGACCTGTTGGAATAACCATCAGGGATGGAGTAACCTCCCTGGCATAACGGGCGAGTAGTGTATGGATGCACGCTAGAGGTCCTGGGTTCGATACCAGGCTTGTCCATTTTATGTCATTTGTCCAGTCACCTGGTTTACCTCAGTTGAATTCATGACATAAGTCTATAGCGCTAGCAGTGTTGAATTTCTTCAAGACCAAGTTAGGTCTAACTCAGGAAGAAGGCCTTGCCATCTGAATGGGGATGGTGATGATGAGGATGGTGGCGAGGGTGGCTTGTCCTGGCCCAACCCACCATTTCCTGACCCATTTGGCACCGAGATAAAATGGGGGCCTTCATCTAATTTCCCAAACCACTCGTCTGTATGACTTGGTTTGTTTGACTCAACCATGCATTCATACACAGCTCCTGCAGCACAAGTAGTGCTTGATCCGTCTGAGTTCATGGCTCGGCTTCTTGAGTCTGCATGCTGAAGTGTAGAAGTTCGAATCCTGCAGCCACTGCCTGCAGATGTCCATCCAGAACTGCTCAAAAAGATGCAGGGACTAACTCCAACCATTAAATGGTCTGGAGAAAATAACTCAAAGTTATTTCACAACTGGCTGCACTCCTGGCTAGCATATATGTCGTTGTGTGGGTGGAAGGGTGAGGCTTACAACGAGTTTCACATCCACACTTTGACAACCACTGTCGAAGGCGAGGTGCAAGACCTCCTAATGCACTATATATGCATTGGAGTGCAGAACGGGGAAACTCCCCCATTCTGGGATCTGCTAGAGATCCTTATCTGCACTTTCATCAAGAAGTCTGCAGCGGCAGCGTCCATGAAAGTGTTCAAAACACTTTCATACAATTCCACGAAGGGAATCAAACACTTCTATAATCAGCTGCATCATGCAGCTGAGGAGATGATCATGCCTCCTGACCAGGCAACGTTCAATGAACGTTTCCTGAACGCCATCCCTGTCAGGGGACGTGCATGCTCGCTGTCATGGCCATGCATTCCGGCCCGTTAGCCGCCTGTCCCGATGCCACCCGAGCCCGTTCCCGCTATGCAAGCGTGAGCGCGAGCCCCAACCTCAGCCCTATCCTCCCTGAGGACTCCCTGCTCACTTCCCCGCTTGCCCCTAGGCTCCCCTACACTTGGCCGACTCCCCTGCTGCTGCACCAACCTTCCCACCCTGAGTCCGCCTCCGGCACCGTGCCCAGCGCGACTCCCCTACCCCGCTCACTTGGCCCCTACAGGGCCACTATCATCCCTGCACCCGACTCCGGCCCAACTCCGAGTCCAGCGCCGCTATGATACCATCACCGCTACTCACCTGTTGGGAGGTCGCGGTTCTCCAAAGTCTCAAGAGGCACGTGTTTATGCGTCGGGCCAACAAGCCGAGGAGCCGGTCTCATGATCACTTGATCACCAACTTCTCCACTACCGATTACATTGAGTATAGAAAAGGTTCATATCATATGACTAAGTCTTCTATTCACTACCCGAAAGGGGCCTCTCATGGGCACAACCGGCCAGGAGTTAGGAGTTCAATTGGCATGGACCCAGACGTTCTATAGGGAATCACTCGCAGCATAATAGGCTCATGTGATACGGTCTACCACTGTCACAATTCAGAAGAATTTGGATTGTTCAGTCGCGAATCCGGGCATTGGCGAACGATGTTGGTGTTATCCGGGAGCTTAGAATCATGTGGAACTTGAGTATAGAAACATGTATGATAATATGCCTTGGGCCTCGCCCCTTCCCCTTGGCGCCCTAACGGGCAGCCTCTATGGGAAGTAAAATATCGAGAATTACACACACACACACACCATCACCGCTATCGCGGCCCTACGCTCTTTCCTTTATTTATCTGTTATTGTTTGTTTTGACCCTCGGTCATTGCTGGCCGCTATGCGGCCAACCCTGCTCCTTATCCTTGTTTGCTTCCGGACCCTTCGGCCTTCGGCCCGGGTCCGCTTCCATTCATTTCTTCCTCCTATATATATCCTGTATGATACTTTATTGTACCTTAGCTCTAATATCGATGTGACCACGACTGTCAGAACCGTACGAAGGTTCGCCGAGGGTAGCCGTAGGCGACCGAGCGTTGCCCGCTAGTGGTAAAGGCGTCCTACACCCGACCGAGCTTTAGCGAGGAATAAACCCCACCGATCTCGAGGCTGAGGCTACTTAGGCGAGTGAGCCGGGATTTCGGCTTCAACGACTCTAGGAGGAGCGTTGCGCCTCGTTCTCGACGCGGTCCCGATACTTAGAAGGTCAGAGGTCTCACGGGGACAGAGGTAAGCTCTAGGGGGTAATTCTAGTTGATTTCGAACTACCGTACAAGCATTAGCTACAAGCTGTATATAAGCGCTAGGGAACTGAATGGGGAATAAGTCGCCAGATCTTGCGGAGATTGCGGGCGGAGAAAAGAAAGAGGAAAACAAACAAAGAGCACGTGTTCAAGACAGCGAAGGTCAAGCGTGACCTTCGCCACGAGGTAACAAGGTGCGGCGAAGCATGGAACAACAGGTCGCGGCGCTCTGCGCCGCTAGGTCGTTCAACGACAATCAAGAGAGGGGTTGTGGAGAGGTGGCGGGAAGTGGTTAGACGGCGACGGGCGGCGAGCGGAGTGTGCGGGGAGTGTTCGGGCGTGGGAGAGGGTCAGGGAGGAGGTCGTCTGGCCCCGGGGAACGCCGGGTCGTGACAACGACCCCAAGTCCTGACCCCAACAAGGCAACCCCAGTGAGTCCGAAATGAGGGCCAAGAGACAACTAGGGGGCACAGCGCTCCTTTAGAGTCGCTGAGGCCAAATGCCCTACCCTCGGGCCTTGTCTAAGGCATCGCGGCCATCGTGGCCAATAGCGGCCCGCATCGGCGACCTTCGGTGCCGACCCTGGACCAGTGTCTAACACTCGCGCAGATTGCTCCGATAACCTAGTTGTGATCAAAGCCAGGGGAAAGGGATGTCCCCATCTTAGAGTCAGCTATATACATGTAGAGTCCGGCAATAAGGAAACCAAACAGATTGCCGATAGAATCACGTGATCATAGAATGTTCCAGAACAATGCCGGAGATGATCTGGGCCACTGGGGCTTAAGTAAGTGGAGTAGATGGGGATTGCTGGCATACTTCCCACGCGCATATGCACAGCTGGCATAGGGTCCAGGGTCATTGCTGATCCCTGACAATCCCTGGTGAAATGCATTGGGAGATGGTTATGTGCCACGAAATTTCCGTGGATTACACAACGAAAGACAAGTTGTGGACCACCGTTGTAGGAGAAATAACGGTCACCCTATGAAAACTCATTATGGAAATATGCCAGATAAACCACAAAAACTCCATATGACTGAGAATATAGAAGAACCTGAATTTTAACGAATTTTAATGAATTATTACGAATTATTACGACTACATACGATAAATTGGAAGAAAGAAAATTAGTAAAAATACTTCAAGCTTAGCACCAACAAGACGGAATGCTCGGGGAAATTTATAGCAAATATTAAACAAGGAACTAGGACAATCGAGCAAGATTTGACTATAAAACCAACCAGAGAACCTCCACAGAAACTACTTTCCCATGCCTGCACACGTAGCTGAGGATGGAAGTACCATGGAACAAGGATTCCTTAGGAACCAATGCAAAATTCAAAGTCGTGTTTATAAGAGGAAATGTAGATGTCTCCCAAACGGACCCAATGAAAGTAATTACAGGGAAAACTACCCATAAACGACGGAGATATGACTGAAATTCTCGGGAAACAAGGACAATGTTTAAAAGGCAAGTGTGAAGAACAAGCAGTAACGACCAAGACGAGCTTGATAGCCCATTAGAAAGGAAGGGATCTAATCTTGATCCACCCAAATTTTCATAATAAAAGGTTCATGCATCAATGAGATATTCAATAATGGGATGAGCGACATCAAAGCCATGGCTCAGGGAAAAGACGACGTTTATGTAGGATCCATATTTAAAACACACAACGAAATTTACACGGAAATTATGATAAATAGGAAACTATAGGTATGCAAATTTTCAATCCAAACGGTCCAGCTGTTGTGAAGTTATACCAACAACAGGAATATAGAAATCTGCATCATGTTTAAAGACACGTGAGGGTGGCGATGCGAAGGGAACCAGCTGTCGGAACCGAGATCCACACTTCAGCAGATTGCGAAGACCAATTTCCGTCCAAATAAGGAAGACCCCGGTCAAAACAAAGCATGGAAAGTACAAAACAACCTTAGATCATGAGGGAAAAATCTGAAATAAATCACAGAAGCCTGTATAAAGGATACAAACACCTGAGCAAACCATAAATCCCGAACAATTAAACAGAAACGGTGCCCGCATATGAACGACTACGGGAACGATGCACGTGATTACTGAATGTGCATGCGAACTTTTGCTAACTTGACGAATACCAAGAAATAGAATACAACTTTAGTACCATTGGAAAGGTGGGAATTTATGATACTGTCAGGGGACGGACCCTGGGTCCCCATGACCCCTCTCCACAGTCCACAGTCTGACCTGTAAACACAGCCCATCTCAGGGCATAGCTACTGTGGGTAAGAAAGTGAGAAGAAGGTTAACTTCTCACTTTCCCACAGTGGCCCAATATGGCGAAAACTTCCGGGGATACCCGGAAGTCACATGAGAAGTGGGAACCGGGCCCGGAGCATGCGGATGGAGCATGTGGGGTGGAGCATGCATGCGGGTGTGGGTGTGGATCCGGGTCCGGGTCCGGGCTAGTCAGGGTGTGTGCCCTGACAGATACTGAGAACATGAAAAACCATTCAGAAATGAATGAGATACAAGGACATGAAGTTAGAAACCTGAAAATGCGTGGGAAGACAGCTTCTAGAGGTCCAGAGCCCCAAATAAAATACATAAAAATATGATATCTTCAAGGATGACCTACTATCACAACGAACAATACATATGGAGGACTAGGATGTAATAATACAAAGGGGAATCAGGGCAGATGGATGAAATCCACGAAAACCACTAAACTACGACGGACCATGGTGGGAATTTTAGGGAATGATATACCAATGAAGTGGAGAGCTATAATACATTTGTTTGAACAATTCTTGACTACTAGCAACTTTTTCTTTCGGTTCTAAACCTGAATAATTCACTCATTTAACATTTCAAGTCTCATTTCAACTAAATGTTACTGGATAAAAATAGAATAAATCAGCTGAAGGTCTCAGTGCAGCTGTCATGACCCGGCGTTCCCTGGGGTCAGATGACCTTCTCCCACACCTGAACACTCCCTGCACACTCTGCTTTCTGCCCGTCGCCATCTAACCACTTCCCGCCACCTCTCCATGACCCCTCTCCTAATTGTCGTTGAACGACCTAGCGGCGCAGAGTGCTGCGACCTTTTGTCCCATGTTTCGCCACACCTTGTTATCTTGTGGCGAAGGTCATGTTTGACCTTCGCTGTCTTAAACACGTGCTTCTTGTTTGTTTTCCTTCTTCTTTTCTCCGCCCGCAATCTCCACAAGATCTGGCAACTTATTCCCTATTCAGTTCCCTAGCGCTTATATACAGCTTGTAACTAATGCTTGTACTGTAGTTCGAAATCAACTAGGACTTCTCCCTAAGCTTACATCTGTTCCCTGTAAGACCTCTGCCTTCTGAAGTATTGGGACCACATCGAGAACGAGGTGCAACGCTCCTCCTCGAGTCGTTGAAGCCGAAATCCCGGCTCACTCGCCTAAGTAGCCTCGGCCTTGAGATTGGTGGGGTTATTCCTTACTGAAGTTCGGTTGTGTGTAGGACGCCTGTATCACTAGCGGGCAACGTTGTAGGTGGGATAATCGCCCACATGCAGAGCCGGCTCAGATACCCGATTTCACGACTATAAAACCACTTCCATTCACGTGACAACTCGATACGAATTTGGTACCTAAAAATAGTCCTAATTCGTACGATTCCGACGATATCAAGAACGTCCTAATCGGTCGAGATTTGACGGAGTTCTGCATTGGACAGGTTAGGCACGGAAGGTCACGAGTATGTGCGGGCGTGGGAATCTCAAGCGGCAACCCAGAATTCCAGCCTCACTCGTTCCCACAGTGTCTAATAAATTGGTAAAAATGCTCATTGGCTGCATAATAGTTCTATTCAGTCACATTTCCAATTTCGGCTTTTAATTCCGTAAATCCGTTGAGATATCGCGTATTTTCTTATATTTTCATATTTCACCATCATTTTAGTTATTGATCAATATTCTTTTATTGATACTGTTACCCTTTTTTTATTATTTCGCCTAATAAGGTATGCAGGTGCCATATGGTACCAACATCAATTATTTCTAAAAATAATTGTTCCTTATATCCTGTACATACCGGATTTTGGAAAAGAAGTTCTCCCCTCCCCCAAAAATTCTCTAAGGTGCTAGGATGCGCTAGAGAGGGTGTGAGTGTGTGGAATTCCAACAGTAGGAATAAGGGCAACAATCTAGCCTGCAATGAGTGGGTAGTGGATTTGTTGAGCCCGGACCTTGCGGAAATCCCGGAGAACTCACCACGCAGAGTTAAGGATCGAGAGTCGAGCAAAGTCTAGAGCTTTAGAGAGAGAGTAGAGGTTTTGGAGAGTTTGGCCCCACGAGCTTAGTCGGCATAGAGAGCCGCTAGCCCTCTTGCAACGTTCGGTCGCCTATGGCTACCTTTGGCAAAGCTTTGCACGGTTCTGACAGCAGCTGTACACAAAGTTTGAATTCAGAATGACCAAGTCATAGCGAACTTAATGGTAAATATGAGGAATTTGAAATCGAAAACTGCAACAAATGCAGCGCAGTCAAGTTCTAATTAACCATTAAAATAGCTTAGGCGAGGAAGGACAATAAGGATTCTAGGTGCAGTCTGACCACAGTAGAGCCACAGTTCAGCACAGTAGAACTATAGCATGAAAATTTCATTTTTTATTCAGTTTGAGGAAAATACACTGTAAATAAATCCTCTAAATATGAGGTAGAGTGTGAAAAATAGAGTATTATTTTTCTCAAGCATTTCTGGTTGTCACTCCAGCGTGAAAAAGTGAAATACAGTTAAGATTGCCACTGTAGTAAAAGTGAAAGGTTGTCTTACTAGTTTG